AAATATTTCCCGAATAAGTCTCACGAATGCTATGAGATTCTGGGAACACAACACGTGTGTGACGTTTCGGCCGCGCACTAATGAGACAGAGTATGTTCTATACACTTGTGAGTGACTTATATGACGAACCTAGCCATGTTCATTTCGAGCCGTGAGTATGTTCCAGCAGAAAACCCTGGCTGTTTCTCAACAGTGGGAAGAGATACTAGTCAACCAGTTCAAGCGGTGAACATTGGTAGGGGATGTCAGCACGTAAGTATTTCACGAATAAGTTCGCAGAAACTTCCGGATGACTACTTTGTTGCTGGTCTGACTCTGCTACTCAAGCACGGATTAAGCTCTTGGGGTTAATTCTCCTCGGGATGCGTCCCTTATTGCGCTTCCATTTTGAGTCTTGGTTCCTGCCGTGCATGGGGAGAACGGCCCTGCAAGTAGCGTGCCACTTTCTCCGGTCAAAAGTGCACGATAACTGGGCTGAAGAGTAGTGATGCCCGGTGTCGTCTCCATACTCCGCCCGCGCTGACGCATAGCCAGTCATGTGCCAGGCCATAGTCAAACCGACTATGGCCTGGCACTTGCCTACGCTCTCCAACTTCGGCTTGTTCTCTACTTCTGGGTGCGCTTTCGCTGCAGGACATTGGTACCGGTGCAAGCGCAGTTTGAGGATAGCGCGGGCAGAGTATGGAGACAACATGTTTCGTTTATCACCTAAAACGGCCACTCCTGGAAGAAAAAAATACGGCCTCTGGCGCGACACAACCCACGCCTTCTTACACCTATACGACGATATCATCTGTAAATTGTACGATTTTCAGTTCGGCATAACCTCGCACGAAATCGCTCACTGCCTCGGTCTCTTCCATCATCAACAACGCTACGATCGCGACACGTACATCACATTCCATGAAGAAGATGTGCAATTCAGATATTGGTTGAACTTCGCTAAGGTGATCTAATATACAGACTGTTCAGTCATCACCTGACAACGAATACTTTTCAGATTCCAAGCAAATACCTCAGCACCTATGGTCTCCCGTACGATGTCGGCAGTGTCATGCACTACACGCCAACCGAGTAACTGATGCCCATTCCGAGTGTAGTAGAGGAGATCCGTGGGATTGTGGGATACGCAACGAAGATATAGTCGTTCTTGCTGCAGACGCTGGAGCGTGTCTGGGAGGGGCTGAGGCTGGCCCTTCGCCACACCGTTTCCCCAACCATAGTTCTTGCTTGCGCGCTTCAGCATTTAGTGGAGGCGGGCTGACGCTGCGCCAACTTCAACCTCGTGGAACGCGCCAGCTTCTGCAGCGAAAACGCCTGTAATTGGTGCGTTCACGGAAAGGGACACTTTTTGATCCAGCAACTTCCTTACATGAGTCTCTCCCACCTTGATGAAACCTGGATCGGGCAATCGAAGGCCTCCAGAGAAATGCTAGCCTCCACCAAAGCGAACAGTACCGCATCCGATATCACGCGATGGCATTTGCTCCAGGACTTGAATCATTTAGGGTTGCGTTCATACTTGGCGGCAGCGTCCACCAGCGACCAGGAATAGAGGTATGGGAAGTAGGAATGGCAGCAATTCCTAGTAGAAACGGAGAAGTGGAGGCAGAAGACAGCTGGATTGGCGCTGAATACTGAACATGGTCACCTTAATACCAATACATATTCCTGGTCGCGATACACTGTCGTCGGGTATGGGCGGGGCTCCTTAGATTGAATCCTGCGCTCACCCTCGAACTGCGATCCTGCGGACGCCTAGACTTGGTAGACGCTTTAACACGCCAGACGACCCGCATTCCTAGCCCTAATCAAACGTAATGACCCGTTAGCCCTCAGGCACAGCATTAGGTTATGGGCGAGCCCGTACGACCCCCCCCTTTTGGTTGTACGACCCCCCCCCCAGCCCTCATCGAATCAGCTCGATGCGGTGAGGAATATAATACTTTTTACCAAAATTTTACTGTCGGCGGGGCATATACATGAGACAGTGAAAATCACAAAATTCAACGCCCCTCCCCAACTTCAAAGGGATATCCCCCCTCTTCAAAAAAAAATTGGAATTCCAAAAAAAATTTAACGTAAACCCCCCCCCCCCCTCCCTTTACAATCCATGAGCCAGAAAATCAAACTATCAAAATAAATTCCCTCAGTCAAATACGACCCCCTCCCGCCGGACAAATAACGAATCCCCCCCTCTATTGGAGTCCCCGAATACGATTTGCCCTGTCTGGCCCGTCACGCTGGACGCTGCCGCAGAGCATAAATGCAGTTATGGAGTGCCTGCACATTGTTCAACTATTTAGAAAGTTCTACTTATCTCTGTGTTTGCCCGCTCACATGATCTCCTGCACTACGCCCGTCCACTCCTGTTTGACTCAACCCATAATCTCATTATTTGTGTGTTTAGCTAATGCAACTTTGCCATTCCAGATTCTCTGAAAGTGACTATGTTTACGCCCTCACCGCTAATAACCCAAATCTCCAAGGCACTATGGGCTCCATGGATGAGCCTTCTTTCCTTGACGTGCAGATCATCAACAGGCATTATCAGTGTGGCGGTAAGCAGTCAGTAATTACAGCCACAACAAATTTAGACCGGTTTCAAACCGAACTGCTCCTTCAGATGCCTGTAACACGACTGAAAACCTGCCCCGCTGCTTGAACGGCGGATATGTGAACCCTAAAAACTGTAGCGTTTGCAAGTGAGTCTTCTTAAACGGATTTCTTATCGGTCTGTCCAACGTTTTGGGTTGCAGATGCCCCACGGGTTTTGCTGGTGACCTCTGTCAACTGATCGCCTCTTCAGCACCAATAAGATGCGGCGGTCTTATACCGACAACCTCTACGTTGACCAAAATGAGAATCCGACTCACTTCAGTGGGACCACGACGAAAATGCGTCTATCACATTAGGGCAAGTGCCAATTTATAGATACCTGCAGTCAGATTGGCTTTTTTGAAACTGCACTTTTAGGCTCCACCCAATCGTAGGGTTATGATCGGTCTTCAATCTGTGCAAGGAGACTGTGAAGAAGGGTGCTACACAACTGCAGTAGAGATGAAGATGGATGGAGATTTTCGCCCCGTCGGATACAGGTGAGCTCAGTCACTCGTCTTGCCAGAAACCTTCATAATTTTCTTCGTGGGGAGCAATGGGAGCCACCTACGGGAGGCTACCTGATACAGCCATACACTCTAAAGCTCATACCATCTCGTTTGGCAGCTATGGGCATAGAGAGCTATAGGAGTCAGCCATGGGAGGCTTCAACAACTGGCAGAGATTCCGAGGCTGTTCAGTTGTAGTTTGGGGGGCGAGTGGGTGGGGGGGGGGGTGGAGTCTGCCAGTTCGCTGCTTTCCTTGATCTCCTCAACTGGATGAGACCTGTGAACTTTCGCGAATTAACGAAATGGTGTGAGCTCAGTATAGTCTTGTTCAGCGGGAGGGAGAGCTGGGTTTGGCGCGATGGCATCTTGTTTCCCAGCTGGAGTCACGCCAAACGCAGCCGACATGCCTAGCTTCACAGAGGTTGCCGGTCTCCGAGTCAATGAAACCTAGAGAAAAGCT